ATACAGGCTATTAGACTAGACGGGATTGAGGTTCATAAGGAGGAGGTGTTAGCAATTCTGGAAGGTGTGAAAATAGAGTCCCCTGGGCCGGATGGGATTTATCCTAGGATTCTCTGGGAAGTGAGAGAGGAGATTGCAGAGCCTTTGGCTTTGATCTTTATGTCATCATTGTCTACAGGAATAGTGCCAGAAGACTGGAGACTAGCAAATGTTGTCCCCTTGTTCAAGAAGGGGAGTAGAGACAACCCTGGTAATTATAGACCAGTGAGCCTTACTTCGGTTGTGGGTAAAGTGTTGGAAAGGATTATAAGAGATAGGATTTATAATTATCTAGAAAGGAATAATTTGATTAGGGATAGTCAACACAGATTTGTGAAGGGTAAGTCGTGCCTCACAAACTTATTGAGTTCTTTGAGAAGGTGACCAAACAGGTGGATGTGGGTAAAGCGGTTGATGTGGTGCATATAGATTTCAGCAAAGCGTTTGATAAGGTTCCCCATGGTAGGCTATTGCAGAAAATACGCAGGCATGGGATTGAGGGTGATTTAGCGGTGTGGATCAGAAATTGGCTAGCTGTAAGAAGACAGAGGGTGGTGGTTGATGGGAAATGTTCATCCTGGAGTTCAGTTACTAGTGGTGTTCCTCAAGGATCTGTTTTGGGGCCACTGCTGTTTGTCACTTTTATAAATGACCTGGATGAGGGCGTAGAAGGATGGGTTAGTAAATTTGCAGATGACACCAAAGTCGGTGGAGTTGTGGATAGTGCGGAAGGATGTTGCAGGTTACAGAGGGACATAGATAAGCTGCAGAGCTGGGCTGAGAGGTGGCAAATGGAGTTTAATGCAGAAAAGTGTGAGGTGATTCACTTTGGAAGGAGTAACAGGAATACAGAGTACGAGGCTAATGGGAAGATTCTTGGTAGTGTGGATGAGCAGAGAGATCTCGGTGTCCATGTGCATAGATCCCTGAAAGTTGCCACCCAGGTTGATAGGGTTGTTAAGAAGGCGTACGGTGTGTTAGGTTTTATTGGTAGAGGGATTGAATTTCGGAGCCATGAGGTCATGTTGCAGCTGTACAAAACTCTGGTGCGGCCGCACTTGGATTATTGCGTACAGTTCTGGTCACCGCATTATAGGAAGGATGTGGCAGCATTGGAAAGGATGCAGAGGAGATTTACCAGGATGTTGCCTGGTATGGAGGGAAGGTCTTATGAGGAAAGGCTGAGGGACTTGAGGCTGTTTTCGTTAGAGAGAAGAAGGTTAAGAGGTGACTTAATAGAGACATACAAGATGATCAGAGGATTAGATAGGGTGGACAGCGGGAGCCTTTTTCCTCGGATGGTGGTGGCTAGCACGAGGGGACATAGCTTTAAATTGAGGGGTGATAGATATAGGACAGATGTCAGAGGTAGGTTCTTTACTCAGAGAGTAGTAAGGGCGTGGAATGCCCTGCTTGCAAAAGTAGTAGACTCGCCAACTTTAAGTGCATTTAAATGGTCATTGGATAAACATGTGGATGATAATGGAATAGTTTAGGTTAGATGGGCTTCAGATTGGTTTCACAGGTCGGCGCAACATCGAGGGCTGAAGGGCCTGTACTGCGCTGTAATGTTCTATGTTCTATATTCTATGTTCCACACAGATAGTCGCCTGACTGAAATTGAATCTGGGCCCATGGTGCTGTGAGGTAGCAGTGCTAACCACTGAGCCACCATGCTGTCCCCTGGAATTGGGTAACAGGCTGGTTGAGATCCTTCGGAACCTATTGGCAACAGGTGGCTTCTGCCACACAGATTAGAAAGATAACCAACCCGTAAGGCAATCATTCTTGCATGGCAAGCCTGTCTCGTAAATGTAACTATATACTTGTGTGCTTTGTGATTTGTTTAAGGGGGAATTTTTAGGGCTGCTCATAATTAAGTAGCACAAAATGGCTGATGGCAGTCCATAACTGAACAGAAAATGGCCAACAGAATGCAGCAGAACATGGCTGACAGTAGGTAGAGCATCTTGGGAAAATATTTTCTGAATGTAGTCTCAGCAAATTGAACAATAGCAGGTCTGTCTTAAATGAGATAGAATGTGCAACTGGCAAATGTGATCCATTGTGAAAAGCTTCCAGGAGAAAGATAAGAAAGTCTGTGAAAACATCATGACTGGGGCTGGACCACCAGACCGCCCATCTCTTTAAGATGCTGTATGAGAGAGCCAATTACAGACCCAATGTCACTGACCAATAGTATCAAAGTGCGGGGGTGGGGGTCGGTGGCTTGTGCGCTCTACATTTTAACTGTATACAATCTGAAGTTTTCGAAGAAAATCTGAAGCTGTAATGAAGTTGCACTAAAATAAAGTTGTACCTGAATCTATCACCGGATTTGGACTCTCATTGGAAAATATGAGATCTAACATGCAGTTTAGGTGGATTGGCTATGCTAAATTGCCCATAGTTGCCAGGGATGTGCAGGGTAGGTGGATTAGCCATGGGAAATGCAAGGTTACAGGGATAGGGAAGGGGACGTGACCAAGGTTTTGGAGTAGATTTGGGGTGGAGTCTGGATGGGAGGCTCTTTGGAGGTTTGATGTGGATCCGATGGGCCAAATGGTCTGTTTCCACACTGTAGGGATTCTATGATGATTCTATGATTCTCTGCAGGAGTTCGTCATGCTTCAATGACTTTCCCTCCGATTGCACAATGTTTGGCACCATTCTCATGTCCACCCACACTGAACCAGTCAGTGTTCACATGCAACAAGACCTTGGGCTGACAAGTGGCAAAGTAAATGCCAGGCAATGAACGCCTCCAATAACAGACAATCTAACAACCATTCCTTGACAGTTGATGGCATTACCATCATTGGATCCACCATGATCAAAATCTTATGTCACTATTGATCAAAAAAAACTGGATGAGCTATGTTGCTAAGTAAAAATACATTGGCTACAACAGCGGGTCAGAGGCTAGGAATACTGCAGTGAGTGACTCATCACCTGACTCAACAAAGTCTGTCTACCATCTATGCGGCACAAGTCAGGAGTGTGATGGAATACTCTTCACTCGCCTGGTGGGTGCAGCTCCAACAACACTTAAGAAGCTTGAACCCTTCCAGGACAAAGCAGCCCACTTGATTGGCAACAAATCCACAAGTGTCTATTCCTTCCACCACCGACACTCAGTAGCAGCAGTGTGTACTATCTACAAGATGCATTGCAGAAATTCACCAAAGATCCTCAGACAGCCCCTTCCAAACCTACAACCACTTCCATCTAGAAAGGCAGTAGATACGTGGGAACACCACCAGCTGCAAGTTCCCCTCCAAGCCTCTCACCATCCTGACTTGGAACTATATCACCATTCCTTCTCGGTCACTGGGTCAAAATTTGGAATTCCCTCCCTAATGGCATTGTGGGTCAATCTACAGTACATGGACTGCAGTGGTTCAAGAAAGCATCTCACCACCACCTTCTCAAAGGTAATTAAGGACATGCGATAAATGCAAGCCAGCCAGCGATGCCTATGAATGAAAACAAAAGGCTGGGATTGTATCAAAGGGAAGGGGGAGAGAGAGAGAGTGTGATAGTGGGGTGGGTAAATAGAGAGAGGACAGAACAGATGGGATTGGGTATTTGTATTGGTGGAAGATGGAGAGGATAAAAATTCTTATCAATCTTTGATTCATTCCTCAGTCAATGAAGTGCCTGAGCCTTTGGGATCTCACTGTGCATCATGGTGAATGCCCTCTCTGCATTACAGCGGGGTCTGAACTGTAAAAAAAAATCATATATTAATTTTACTGCCTTGAGTGCTGCTGGTCAAAGACCTTTTGGAGCTTGTTTCTGTAAAGACTCATTCTCATTCTAAGGCAACTCGTGATTTTGGGACAAATTTTGACACTTCGATGAAACTTTCTACAGAAATTCCAAAGCATTTAGAGATTCTGAAGGTATGGGTCTCTTATTCCATCGGAGAGAAGGAAAGGAGCAGGAGAGTCTTACAAAGAACAAAGAAAATCACAGCCATGCCACAATTCACCCCTTGGGATTTCCATTTCTATCCTTCTGCCCTGTAAATGACAAGAGTGGGAAAATCCAGCCGTCCCACGGAAAGGATTGCGCATGAATGGAGAAACAAGAGTGGGGTTTAGCATGCAGTGGATGGGTAATTGAGGATCTACAAAAGGGGAAAGTTTGGGGGGAGGTGAAGACACACAGACGTGCAAAACTAGCTGGCTGCAAATTTGAGAGTGCAAAATGTTGGTCGGGTGGGGCACATGGGTGGATCGCAAAATTGGGTGTGGGAATGGCAAATTCAGGTCTGAAAGAAAGAGTAAAAGAAGGAAAGAGAAAGAGAGAAAAGAAAGAACTGGAAAAAGGAAGCGGCAAAGAAAATAGAGAAAGGCAGAAGGAAGAGAGAGAAAGACCTAAAGGAGAGGCTGCCAGTAAGAGACACGGAGAGAGAGACACACAGAGACACGGAGAGAGAGAGAGAGAGAGAGACAGAGACAGAGAGAGAGACAAGGAGAGAGAGAGAGAGAGAGACACGGAGAGAGAGACAAGGAGAGAGAGAGAGAGAGACAAGGAGAGAGACAAGGAGAGAGAGAGAGAGAGAGAGACAAGGAGAGAGAGAGAGACAGACACACATTCAGAGACAAAAAGGGAGGGAGAGAGACACACACAAAGTGAAACACAAAGTGAAACACAAAGACAAAGACAGAGACAGAGAGGGGGGGGGGAAGAGAGAGACCAAGAGAATGCAAGGCAGGGAGTGTGGGACAGGCTGAGACAGGCAGATAGAGAGATAGCAAAAAGAGGAAAAGTCAGTCAGAAATAAACAGGAGTGAAGGAAAGACATGGAGAGACTCAAGAGGTGATCCTCACCACTGCATTTGGTCCCAGCTACCCCGCTGGTCTCTCACTCCCATTTCTCCCATGAGGCTTGCTTCAGGATGGCTAGTTCAGGGTGGAGGAGTGAGGTTAAAGGATCAAAACTGGGCACAAGATTTTATTTTTATTGCAAAAATATACTTTATTTATACAAAATTACGTTAATGCATATACACAGGTACGAAAGTGGTTCTGCACAGTCTTTGCATAGAAAGGAAGAACAAACGTTAGAATTTCTCATTGCCTGCAGCTGCAAGACCAAAGGCATTTCCTACTACTGCACGACACAATTTGCATACATTTGGAGACGATGAGAGGGTCTGATAACAGAACAAACCCCCATTGTACTTTGGCAGAAAGAGCTTAGATTGTGGTCTTTCCCCACTGCACCTTGGCAGCACCTGCCCCAAGATTTAGCGCATCCCTCAGCATGTAGTCCCGGACCTTGGAATGTGCCAATCTGCAACAATCGGTTGTGGTCAACTTTGGACAGACCAAAGAGCATCTTTCACCATGCTGATGGTCTTCCAGGCACAGCTGATTGTTGCCTTGCCATGCATCCCGGCGAACAGACCACACAGCACAGAGTCCTGTGTCACGGAGCTGCTTGGGATGAACCTCAACAAGAATCACTGCATGTCTCTCCAGACTTCCTTTGCAAAAGCACATTCTAGGAGGAAATGCGCGAGTCTCTAACCCCTCCTTTGCAGATGGGACTTAAACCCTGAACTTCTGATCCAGGAATAGGGACACTGGTCTTCTGGCACAGTGACATTGTTGACAGCACAGTTGTTTATACATTGAAGTGTTCACACAATCACCTTCAGTCTGTGCCTGGATTCCTGCAGCGACTCCAGGTGTCTCTTTCCAGTTGGAGTGAACTGATTTTCCCACAGTCTAAAATAGATTAAAGACATTATAGGAAATAAAAATAGTGAACGAAACAGTCAAGAAGAGAGAAGTATGGGTTAATATTTCAAAAATAATTACAAGCAAATACAGTCCACAAAGGGACTGAATCCTATTTATATGTTGTTTACTACATTGAATGTTATAATGACTCACTCAATCCGCTCCAAACTCTTACAGTCCAGAATGAGACGGCTGATGGCTGGGACAGATTGGTCTGTGAAGAGGTTTGTTCCCAGTTTCAGAATGGTCAGTGACTGGTTTGTACTGAGAGCAGAGGCAAGATCTTTGGTACAAGAATCTGAGAGACTGGTACCCCATAGACTAGGGACCAGAGAGAGAACAAGAGAAATCGCAAGAGTAAGATAAAACTCCCAATGTTTATTAATGACAACAATACCAACACAAATAACTGTCTTCAGTATCAGATGATGAAAAATTAATAACACCAGTCTCTCATGGTCTGGGCCCTGTTGTATAAGACAGTTTATACCTGAAAGTGTTAATTGACATAATGAGATAGATCAGTAGGATATGAAAGACTGCTCCTGGAAGGACTTAGCTAACTATTAGTTGTCTCTATAGAGAGAGGCTGAATAGGCTGGCACTATTTTCCCTGGAGTGTTGGAGGCTGAGGGGTGACATTATAGAGGTTTGTAAAATCACAAGAAGCATGGATAGGATAAATAAGCAAGGTCTTTTCCACAGGGTGCAGGGGGGAAAGAGTCCAAAACTAGAGGGCATAGGCTTTAAGGTGATGCGGGAAAGATTTAAATGGGACCTAAGGGGCAACCATTTCCACACAGAGGGTGCATGTATGGAATGAGCTGCCAGAGGAAGTGGAGGAGGCTGGTACAATTACGACATTTAAAAGGCATCTGGATGGGTACATGAATAGGAAGTGTTTAAAGGGATATGGGCCAAAAGCTGGCAAATGGGACTAGACTAATTTAGGGTATCGGGTTGGAGTGGACAAGTTGGATTGAGGGGTCTGTTTCCATGCTGTAAATCTCCATGACAAACAAATTGCTGGAGCGTTGACACACATCTTTCTATCCTCTTTAGCCACAGGTGAGGTCCCAGAGGACTAGAGAATAGCCAATGTTGTCCCATTGTTTAAGAAGGATAGCAGGATAATCGTGAAAATTTCATGCCTGTGAGTCTCACGTCGGTGATAGGGAAATTATTGGAAAAGATTCTCAGGGACAAGACCTATATGCAACTAGACTTAGTGGCGATAGGCAGCATGGGTTTGAGAGGGGGAGGTTGATCAAGTTTTTTTTGAGGAGGTGACGAAGATTATTCATGATGGAGAAGCAGTTGATGTTATCTACATGGACATCAGTAACGCCTTTCACAAAGTCGCACATGGCAGACTGGTACAAAAAATGAAGTCATATGGTATCAGGAGTGAGCTGGCAAGATGGACATAGAACTGGCTTAGTCATTGGAGACAGAGGGTAGCGGTGGAATGATGCTTTTTGGAATGAAGGGTTGTGACTAATGTTGTTCCACAGGTGCTGGGACCTCTGTTGGTCATGATCTACATAAATGATTTGGAGAAAAATGTAGCTGGTCTAATTAGCAAGTTTGAGGATGATATGAAGATTGGAGGAGTTATGGATAGTGAGGAAGATTGTCAGAGGATACAGCAGGATTTAGGTCAGTTGGTGGCATGGTCAGAAAAATGGCAGATGGAGTTTAATCCGGACAAATGCGAGATGGTGCATTTTGGAAGGTCAAATACAAGTGGAAATTATACAGCGAATGGCAGAACCTTTAGGAGTATTGATATGCAGAGGGATGCGGGTGTGCAGGTCCACAGATCACCGAAGGTGGCAGCGCAGGTAGATAAGGTAGTAAAAAAAGGCTTATATAGTGTGCTTGCCTTCATTGGAAGGGGTATTGAATATAAAGATAGACAAGTTATGTTGCAGCTTTATAGAACTTTAGTTAGGCCACACTTGGAATATTGCATACAGTTCTGGTTGCCACACCACCAGAAGGCTGTGGATGCTTTGGAGAGGGTATAGAGAAGGTTTACCAGGAGGTTGCCTGGAATGAGGGATTTTAGCTATGAAGAAAGGTTGGATAGACTGGGTTTATTTTCACTTGGATGCAGGAGGTTGAGGGGCGACCTAACAGAAGTTTACAAGATTGTGAATGGCATGAATAAAGTGGAAAGTACGAAGCTTTTTCCCAGGGTGGAGGGGTCAATTACTAGGGACACAGGTTCAAGGTGTGAGGAGGGAAGTTGAAAAGAGATGTACGAGGCAAGTTTTTCACACAAAGGGTGGTCAGTACCTGGAACACGTCGCCAGAGGTGGTGGTGGAAGCAGACACAATAGCAGCATTCAAAAATCAGCTGGACGAATACATGAATAGGAAGGGAATAGAGAGATACAGATCCTGTAAGTGAAGACAGTTCTAGCATGAAAGGGCAAAATGGGGCAGCGCAGGCTAGGAGGGCCAAAGGGCCTGTTCCTTTGCTATATTGTTCTTTGACTCTATGACTCTATGCTATAACCATAATGCTTTAGTAGCAGTAATATGTATTTTGAAGTGTAGATCCAAGTATAATCAACGACTCTTGTAACTTCAATGTTTGTGACTCACTCACAAGTACTAAGTTAGAAATCTATTTGTTTATCCCGAGTGAGCCTTTCCTCTGCCAAAGACCTAATGTGGCCATCATTCACCATTTGGGATCAGTACCTTAGACTACGAACAACAAAAAGGAACAAGGGTGGACAGAACAAACACAAAAACAAATAATAATTCCTACCTCAGGTTCACAATTTTGCAAGCCGGATTGCTCAATGCCACAGATAGCAGTTTCACTCCCGTATCTCCCAGTTTATTGTTACCAAGGTTAAGAACAGTCAATGACTGAACTGTACTGAGAGTGCAAGCGAGTTCTTCGATACAAGAATGTGTGAGATGATTACCAAGCAGCCTGGGAATTAGGTGGAATGGAGAGACAGGGTGAGAGAGAGATACAAGTAACAAAAAACAGGGTAAGTCCCCATTGTTTATTCAGAACGCTATGATTGATAATGATAATAACGCTCAGTGTTGGACATCCTGTTACTCTAAATACAAATCTCTCAAAGTTTGATACTTACACCAGTTCCTGAAGTTTACAGTTCACATTTCTCAGAACCACAAACAGTCGTTTCACTCCTAAATCTTTCAATTTATTTTCACCCAAATTCAGACTCATCAGTGACTGGTTGGTACCGAGAGCCGAGGCAAGGTCCTGGGCACAAGAATCTGAGAGACTATTATCATTCAGCCTGGTGATCAAAACAGATAGAAATAACAGGAGTAAGCCGCAAATGCTTGGCGGCTATTGTTAACTATTACCGATACAAATATTGATGGACAGAATGTGATTCAGACACTAATAATGATGGGCAGTAGTTATTAATAACACTATCAATGGTAATTATGCAAATTATCAAGTATCCTTCTTTGAGAAACAATTATATACAATTTGATGCTTACTGCAGTTTTTCTATTTGACAATCCGGGTTCCTCAGTGCTTCAGATAATAGTTTCATTCCTTGATCTTGGAGATCATTGTTTCTCAACCTAAACACAAAGAAATAATGAGAAATAGTGTGAATGAAACTCTGCATCTGAAATTATTTTGCTCTCGACTAATAAACATTGAACAAACTTAATGAAATTAATAATCAGACTTTCCTGTCGATGGCAAAATATTCCATGGTGTCCACCTCTCAAAATATTCAGGGGCCATTTATGACAGTATTTATTAATAATGTCCTATCTACGTGAGGTTTTTCAAAGTCCTTCAGTCTAGTATCACTTCCTAATGATCAGAATTTATCTCCTCAAGGAGACAGGCATCAAGTGTGCCTTGGTGACAGATCCATGCATTTTTCGAAATGTATTTAATAAATGGTGCTCCTTAAATGGTAGGAGTTTGGGGATCATGTGAGCATCTCTGACTTGAATTGTAAAAAAAAGTATTTGCTGCCATTTGATGTTTAAAATAACTGAGGCTCGTGTTACATTGCAAAATGGTGAGACATGATTATCTTACAAGGATTGTTCACTTTGCCAATACACGTTTTAAACGTGCCCAGTTCTGCTAGTTCAGAACTACAGCAAGGCAATGTTGTACTAGTCCCATTAGAATAGTTTTGCATTTATTTCGGGTGCAGCTGTTTTGACAGTAATTGGGAAATTTTCGGAAGTTGCCTGTGTGATTGGCATTTCATGTGTAGGTTTGGATATTGTGTATATGCTAGATTCACTCCCAGTTTTAGTAAGTAGACACTCTCTAGGTGTGTGGCTCCAATGCCGGCTGGTGTATGTCTGAACTGTAGGGACAAAGCATTACAAGTCATTAGTTTGGAGCCATTATATCTGTACATTTAAATTTCCCAATTATGTTTCAATTTAGGACTGTAAATAATCCAATAATGACTAACATTCGGAACTGAAAGATGTTCTATTTTCCCTATAATTTTGTCTTCATTCATTCACACGATGTGGGCTTCATTGGCAGGACCAGCATTTACTGCCCATCCTTAACCACATTATTCTGGGTCTGGGGTCACATGTAGGTTAGACTGGGTAAGGATGGAAGTTTCCTTACTTAAAAGGACATTAGTGAACCAGCTGGGTTTTTCTGACACTCAACGATGGAGTCATGGTCATCATTAGACTCTTTAATTCCAGATATTTATTGAATTCAAATTCCACTATCTGCCATGGCGGCATTTGAACCCAGGTTTTCAGAACATTATCTGTGCCTCTGGGTTAACAGTCCAATAATATCATCACTGGGCCATCACCTTCCCCTTGCTCGTCCTCATCCCCCTCAGCCTTCCAACAAGGCAAACACTAAACACTGGAATAAATAACTGTATAATAGTTTGATAAGTTCCCATTCTGTTTCTATTTAAAATAGTAGATGTGGAATATATTCTAAATTAACTTTTGTTCAGCCACGTTACATTTTCTGTTTGCTTTCCATTTCTCAACCATACTTAATTCAATTTAATTTCAATGGATCATAGCCTTTAGGTCAAACTTTCTAGCTCTTCTGAAGAATCAACTTCAGATATTCCAGTCTGGATACAGTTGTAAACGGATTGTTTTACATGGGTTTTATTTGTGTTGAATCTGCTTATCTCTGCTTTCAGTAAAACGTATCCATGGCAACTGAAAGCAAACATCGCATGATTGTTCTACAACTTATCTGAAAAAATCACAGGTAAAGAAGAGTTACCTCAACTCCCGGCATTTGTACAGTACGGGGCCCAGTCGCTGCAATCCTTCAGGCTGAATATAACAGTTCTCGAGATCAAGGAGTTTTACTGTGTCACACAGTCCAATGACATGTGACACAACAAAGCAGTCAACTGGTGTCAAATGAAGTCCACTAAATGCAAGTGTTTTCATGGATCCCACTATGGACCGAACTAATGCTTTATTCTGAGATTCAAAAAGGTACTGCAATCTGTTCAGAAGGTCCCTTTTATCAGTTTTGCTCCCTGTGTTTCGAATCTGTCCTTCGCCTATCCCCTTCAACCAGTCAATCACTTGGCAGGTTGTTTGATGAAGAAATGGACCCAGAAACTCCTCCAGGGGCCAAGCTGCCTGTGGGGAGGAGAGACCAGCAACAAAACGGAGAAAGATCTCATAACGGCCATCTGCCTTACTGTGAGCACCACTGAGGAGTTTCTGGATGTCCCTGGGATTTGGAGTCAGGAATTGTGCAAGTGCAGCTACAAATTCTTGGATGGTGAGATGTGGGAATGTGTAAACCACAGTCTGGACTGAATCATCCCTCTCCAGAAGTTCCATGAGGAACCCAGACAGGAACTGGGAAGGTTGCAGACTGTACTGGATCAATTCTCCATTTCTAAAGACAATGTTTTTCTCAGAGACTCCTTTGAAGGCCATCTCACCAAGCTTCAGTATCACATCACGGGGGTTTTCAATCTTTCGGCCATGGTGTTTCAGAATGTTGTAAATATAGTAGGAATATAGTTGGGTGATGGTCTTGGGAACTCGTTGCTCCTTCCTGTCAGATTGTGAGAGGAAGGGACCCAGTGACTGACAGAGGATCCAGCAGTATGAAGGGTTATAGGTCATTGTGTACAAGATCTCATTCTCCTTCACGTGTTTGTAAACAGCTGCTGCCACTGTCCGATCTTCGAAAAACTTGTTGAAATATTCCCTCCGATCATCATCAGCAAACCCTAGGATTTCAGCCCAGACAGTGATCTCAGCCTTTTCCAATAAACATAACTCAGTGGGACGTGTGGTCACTAACACTGAACACCCTGGAAGCAGCTTGTGCTGTATTAAACTGTACACAATGTCAGACACTTCACACCAGCATTCGGGATCTGTGCACGTGAACTGCGGTCCTGTATTTCTCCGATCGTCAGAAAAATCAATCCTCCCCTTGAATTCATCCAAACTATCGAATATAAACAGTAAACTCTCCGGTTTCTTCCAAAGATTTCCCAGAATGTTCCCAAAATAAGGATACTGATCCAGTATCAGATTCTTCAGGTTTATTCTACAGTTAATAGTATTCAAATCTCGGAACTTGAAATAGAAGACAAATTGAAACTGTTGGTAGATCTTTCCAATGGCCCAGTCATAAACAATCTTTTGTATCATTGTTGTTTTACCAATCCCTGGGACCCCACTCACTGCCACCGTACTCCCTGAACTGAAATTTGTCTGGGAAAACCTGCTCTGGAACAACTGATTCGTTTGGATTTTTTCCAGTCCTCTCCAGAGACATTTCTGTCTCCACTCTTCATGGTCTCGGCCTCTTGCCAGCAGTTCATGTTCTACTAGAATCCGATCCCGAACAGTAGAAATGACCGTGAGATCAGCATATCGATCAACTAGCTGGAAAATCTTCACCTTCTCCTTTATTTGGACAGTGTTCACTCTCAGTGTTTCAGTTTGTACCCGTAGCATCTCTTTATGTTTCTGCTGAGCACCTGGAATTAGAACAGGGAGAAAGTGGTTCTCAATGTTAGTTGCATTGTTATAAAAGTAGTTTTTCAATGCTATTTCATGATGCAATAAAATGTTAAACAATTTAAAATCACAGATTTAATGGAAATGGGTGTAGATATTTGAATGTTTTTGAAACCTCAAGTGAAACTCAGTGATGGCAGAAAAACTTTAAATTCTTTCTCGATTCAAATTTCTACTGATCATGGAAATTTTAACAAAGACGATTTTCTTTCTTAATCTCCTAATTTACTCACTGTCCCAGCATCCACTGCACTTCAGGGTTGTGAATTATACAGATTCACGATCATTTGATTTGATTCATTATTGTCACTGTATTGAGATATAGTGAAAGGTATTGCTTTTGCATACTAACCAGACAAATCACACCTTACATAAACACATCAGGGATGCAGAATATAGTGTTACAGCTCAGAGAAGGTGCAGAAAACAAAAATCAACTGTAACATATGAGAGGTCCATTCATAACTCTGAAAACAGTGGGGAAGAAACTGTTCTTGAACCTATTGGTGTGTGATTTCAAACTTTGTATCTTCTGCCCCATGGAAGAGGGTAGAAGAGAGTATAACTGAGGTGGGAGGGGTCTTTGATTAAATTGGCTGCTCATCTCTGTTTTAATTCTGCTACCGCTTATCCTAAAACAATGACTTCTCATTCTAGATTTCCCCACACAAGGAAGCATCCTCTCTACTTGTGCTTTGTCAATCCCTTGTAACATCTTATATACCTCAATTAGATTTTCTCTCATTCTTCTAAATTCCAGACAGTATGTGCCTGAACTGCTCAATCTGGCTTCATTTGACAAACCTCTCCTCTCTGGAATCAATCGAATGAACCTCTTTTGGATTGCTTCAATGCAACTATATCCTTCTTCAAGCAAGGGGACGAAATTGTATGCACTACTCCAGGTGTAGTCTCACTAATGCCTTGTACAGTTGCAACAACACTTCCTTACTTTTATATTCTATTCCATTAGCAATAAATGCCAAAATTCCGTTTGCCTTCCTTATTACCTGCTGTACCTGTATCTGAGTTTTCTGCAAGAAGACACCCAGATTCCTCTGCACCAAAGTACTGGAACATACAACATAGGACAGAACAGCACAGAACGGGCCCTTTGGTTCACGATGTTGTGCCGAACATGATGGCAAATTAAACTAATCCCTTCTACCTACCCTTGGTCCATTTCCCTCCATTCCTTGAATATTCATGCGCTTATCTAAAAGTCCTTTAAAATCCCCCTTTTGTATCTGCCTCCAATACCACCCCTGGCAATATATTCCATACACCTACAGTCTCCGTGTAAAAATCTTGCCTCTCACTTCTCCTTTGAATTTTTCATCTCTCACCTTAAATGCACGTCCCCTAGTATTAGACGTTTCAACTCTGCGGAAAAGATTCTGACCATCAACCTTATCTAAGCATCGCATAATTTTGTAGATTTCTATCAAGTCTCCCCTTAGACTTCGCTGCTCCAGAGAACGTTTTTCTAAAGTTTCTCACCATTTAGCTAATAAGCTGCCTTTCTATCCCTCTGACCCAAAATGGATAACTCACACTTATCCATGTTAAGCTTCATCTGCCAAATTTTGGTCCATTCACTTAACCTATCTGTATCCATTTGTAAGTGTCTTCTTTCTTCATTGCAACTTACTTTCCCATTTATTTTAGTGTCACCAGCAAATACAGCCTTGTTACTTTTTAATCCCTGCATCCAAATCATTAATTTTAGTCCGTAAATAGTTAAGGCCTGATGACCAAACCCTGTGATATCCCACTAATTACGTCTTGCTAACCAGAAAAAGACCCACTTATCTAGACTCTCCGCTTTCTGTTGGTTAGCCGATCCTCTATCCAAGCCAATAATTATCCCCAGCGCCGTGTGATCTTACCTTGTGTACAAAACCTTTTGTGTGGCACCTTATCAAAAGCCTTCTGGAAGTTCAAATATACGAGGTCTACAGGATCCCCATTATTCACCTTGCTTGTTACATAGTCACACAGTCATACAGCACAGAAGCAAACCCTTCGGTCCAACCAGTCCATACCGAACATAATTCCAAACTAAACTTGTGTCGCCCACATGCTCCTTGCCAATGTCCCTCGAAACCTTTTCCATTCATGTACTTTTCTAAGTGTCTTTTAAATGTCGTAACTGTGCCCACATCCACCATTTCCTCGGGAAGATCATTCCACACATGAAACATCCATGTAAAAAAGCTGCTCCTCATGTCTATTTTAAATCCATCTCCTCTCACCTTAAAAAGATGCCCCCTCGTCTTGCAATCCCCCATCCTAGGAAAAAAAGACAACTATCATTAATTCTATCTAGATCCCTCATGAGTTTACAAACTTCTATAAAGGTCACTTCTCAACCACCTATGTGCCAGTCAAACACGTTCCAGCCATTTCAGCCTTTCTTTGTAACTCAAACCTTCCATTCCTGGCAACATCCTGGCTCATCTCTTCTGAACCCTCTCTGGCTTAATAATATCCTCCCTATAAGTGGGCGACCACACTGGATACAGTACTTCAGAGGAGACCGCACCAATGTCATGTACAACCTCACCATAACTTCTCAACTCCTATACTCAAAAGACTGAGCAATGAAGGCAAGCATGGTAAACACTCTTAACCACCCTGTCTACCTGAGTCACAAATTTCTTAGACAAACTCTAGCAAATTAATCATGACTTACCCTTCAGAAAGCAATGTTGACTCTGACGGACACATGTTGAACTAACTGGTCTATAGTTTCCTACTTTCTGAAGACTTCCCTTTTTGAATAAGGGCATTTCAGATTATCAATAGCAAATGCGTAGCGTTTGCTAAAGTCTGGTGTGGTGCAATAAGGGTTGGCGACTTTAAAATTTAGTCTAAGTTTTTCCAATCCACTAGAACCTTCACTCCATCCAGGAAATTTGGGAATATTCTAACCAATGGATAAGCTCTCTGCTGCCATTTTCTTTAAGACCCTAGTAGGTAGGCCACTAGGTCCTGGGGACTTGTTTGCTTTCAATCTCAATAGCTTGATCCATACATTTTCCCAAATGATCAAGTTCTTCCCTGTCTAAAGGCTCTGTATTAACTGTTACAATTGGGGTGTTTTGAGTGTTCTCCACTGTGAAAATTGATGTAAAATACTAATTTAGTAATTGCCATTTCTGTGTTTCCTCCTATTAACTCCGCTATCTCTTCCTCCAATGGACCAACTTGAGACAGACTTTGGGCAGGTTATACAGGTAATATGTTTGGAAAAGAAGAAGCCTGTGCGTGGATAGAATTTTCACTGCAATTTCAATCAGGCTTCGAAAGCTCATATAGATATCTGTGTAGTAGAAAAATAATAAACTGATAGCACATGTGGGTTGCATTCCACGTACAATTTCCACCATTCCCAGAAATTTCAGACCCACATCATTTACATTGCAGTTAATCTTCATGTTTGTAATAACACTTCCTCTTCGTCCCTGTCTCAGCTTATCTGTTGATGAATCCATCAGACCCTTTGTTACCTTTAGCCTTGAATAATTATTCTCCCCGGTCATCATCCCAACCTGTACCCTCTATAAATGTGAAGGAATCTGCATCCATGAACCCCATATCTTAATTCACACAAAGATTTCTTCAATCATTACACATGCGCTTACTGTCCAGTACTGGCTCCCATTTTGACCATATCTCAGTTCAAAAATTAGAGATATATTTTTCAAAAATCAGTCTACAGCCATGGCACACCTCCCTATCTCTGTAACTTACTACAGTGCTGCATTCCCGAAAAGATCTCCATACACCTCCAATTCTAGAATATTTATGGAACCCACATTTCCACTGCAAGCAATCACAATGAGGTCATCTTCCTAGTATTTGAGTGACGAAAAGCATGCCCACACCTTGGTTTATACATAGTGGTGTCAGATGGTTCACCTGAGGGATAGTTTATACTTTGATTGAACAGAGTGCAAGCAGTCAAATGTTAAATTAATGATAACTCAGCATGAGACCAATTCATCCAGAGTGCAGAATATACTGGGTTTGAGAATATTGTGTAGAGACAGTTGTTAAATTGCTGTTGTTTCAAGTTACTGGACAATTATCACAGCTATTAGCTGAACTTCAGCACTCAGCTGTCAAAGGGAAAGCAAAAGAATAACTTGAAGCTTCAGAGACAGTAGGAACTGCAGATGCTGGAGAATCTGAGATAACAAGGTGTAGAGAAGGATGAACACAGCAGGCCAAGCAGCATCAGAGGAGCAGGAAAGCTGACGTTTCGGGCCTAGACCCTTCTTCGGAAATGGGAGAGGGGAAGGAGATTCTGAAATAAATAGGGAGAGAGGGGGAGGCAGATAGAAGATGGATAAAGGAGAAGATAGGTGGAGAGGAGACAGACAGGTCAAAGAGGTGGGGGTGGAGCCAGTAGAGGTGAGTGTAGGTAAGGAGTTAGGGAGGGGATAGGTCAGTCCAGAGAGGACGGACAGGTCAAGGGGGCGGGATGAGGCTAGTAGGTAGGAGATGGGGGTGGGGCTTGAGGTGGGAGGAGGGGATAGGTGGGAGTAAGGACAGGTTAAGGAGGTGGGGACAAGCTGGGCTGGTTTTGGGATGCAGTAGGGGGAGGGGAGATTTTGATACATTGATACCATTGGGTTGCAGCGTTCCCAAGCGAAATATGAGGTGCTGTTCCTGCAACCTTCGGGCGGCATCGTTGTGGCACTGCAGGAGGCCCAGGATGGACATGTCGTCTTAGGAATGGGAGAGCAAGTTGAAATGGTTAGCGACTGGGAGGTGCAGTTGTTTAGTGCGAACCAAGCACAGGTGTTCCGCAAAGCGGTCCCCAAGCCCCAAGGTTCATACAGGAATCAGAAGGGAAGAATGAGGGAGTTTGATGTACTGTGTGCGTATTCATATTGACAGATAGTTAATGGCATTTATACCAATAGTTCAGTAAATGGATCAAAATGAACAT